ACACACACACACACACACATTTTGTTATAAAAATAGCACACCATTACAGAGAGGGGATTCTCCAGTTATGACACCTACCATAAACTCCCAGGAAGCTCTTTCAGAATACACATGTTCACCTCTCAATTTATCACGTGGAAACGGAGCAAGATTCACTGTTTAACATTAAAATGTTCTCCTGCCTAACTCAGATTCTCACTTGTATATATAGGAATGTTTATTTTGTCTGCTAGGATTCTTCCTTTCTGCCCCTCCCCCTTGGGTTCTGCTTCTGCCTCTAGTCTTCTAGACGTGTAATTAGCAAGGGAGGTGTAATCATGTGTGGCCTTGACTCCTTGGTCACAACAACTAGTCAGGAAGTGTGTACCTGACTCCTCCTGTTCAGTGATTTGGTCAAGGGTGTGTAATTCAAGGTGTGCTAAACAGTCATTTCCTGGCATTTTTCTAATGAGGTTGGGAACAGAAGTCCCCAATCTTCCTATTGGTGTCAAAACTGGACTGTGAGCCACCACTGCTCCACCATGTGCAGACACTGTAAAAGAGAATAGAAACAACTTTCAGTAAGTGGTAGACTCAAAGGACTGAGACATTCCATGGCTTTTTAGAGTTCCAAAGCAGTCCTGTTTCCTGCTTTCTTGAAGCTTAGTTATTCAGTTCTTCTGTTGATTCTGTGAGGTACCCTGATATCCCAATAGAATACATATTGATAGTAATAACTAACAAACATGTATTTAGAATGCTATTTGGAATACATTTTTTAAAATTTATACTACTACTTGTAATTTGCTTTTTTCACAGAACAATCCATTGGGACATTCATCACCAAAGAACTACATCATCATTTTTAACAGCTGTACCATCTTCTTGCTTGATAAATCAGTTTATTTCATGTTGGTGTTTCTGATTTTTAAACGTTATAAACAAGACTGTGATGAACACTAAATATATGTGCTAATAAGAAAGAACTTTCCCAGAAGCTTCCAGCAAACTGGTCATAATTGGGTCATAGGCCCACTCCCAATTTAAATCCCTAGTAAGGGGAAGTGGCTGGCAGAACTGACCTCATCTGAGCTAATTTCTGGAGTTGGGCTGATGCACGTGTGTTTAGTGGTGGAGGGGGAGAGAATGGTGATGAGGTCAGGATTTCTGAACGAAAGATAGAAGGGGAATCAGGTGTCTACTACAATTGTTCTGAACATTTCAAGGTGTTTAAAACATAATAAATATTAACTTTTCACACTAAAAGCAGTGTTTAAGACTGCTAGTTGCTCTACACCCTTGGAAATCAGGGCTACTATAATTATAATTACATCTATATGATCTGATAATAATGTTTGATTTTTTTTATCAGTAGTTCATAAGGAAATATCTTTAAGATGATTCACAACTCCTTATTTGATGGCATTAAAGTATTCTATTAATAGAGATATAATAAAATGACAGGAAAATTGCTCTAATTTGATTCATATAAATTCTGCAGCTATCTAAAATTATAGGTACAGAAACGAGATTTATCTCTAAAAAGGTAGAATGAAATCACTTCTGTCAATCACTTATCAAAATAAATGTGAATTAGACTTTTAGATGCTTCATTAGAATCTCATGGAAATCTCAGAAATAAGCAATAATTTCATTAAAAAAGCAAGTTCTTTAAAAAGTTTTTTTTTAATGCATAAGACAGTTATCAATTTTCAGTCTTTGGATTTACTAACATGTTATAGACTAGATATTGGATGGTAAGTTTTAAAGAATATATTTTAAATAAAAAAGTTCTGGGGATGTAATGTTCAGCATGGTAACTATAGTTCATAATACCATACTGTATATTTGAAAGTGACAGAGTAGATCTAAGAGCTAAAAGAGTAGATCTTAAAAGCCCTCAACACAAGAAAAAAATGTGTATCTACATGTGGTGATGAATGTTAACTATACTTACTGTGGTGATTATTTTACAATATAAACAAATATTGAATCATTCTATTGGATATCTGGAACTAATGTTACATGTCAGTTATATCTCAATTTAAAAAATAAATATATTCATGTGACAAATATTGAATTACATTTGGTGCATAGTACATTTTTGGGTAAAGCTCTTTATCAATAGTGAAGAGGCCACAAGAGAATACACTTATGATCATCAAAGGTTTCACTGTAGTGCTTGAATTACTTTTAATACTTGAGAGCAGATGTTAATTGCTTTAAGACCTGACTTGTCCCATTGGAAATTATGTTCAATAATTATATTCTCCGGGCTAAAGAGTTCAGAACACTATTTATTCCTGCACAGATGACAAAACATTTGAACTCCTAGAGAGAAATGCTATTTAAACATTGTGACCTTCATTTTATTAGGTACTCAAGTTTACACTGCACATGTGATGGATTCAAAAATATACAGAGCATAAATCCACAAAGAGTATTTTGTCCTCAAGCCACCTCTTGACCAGAGTTATTTGGGGTTCAAAACAGACAAAACAGTTTTACAAAGAAGTCTTATTGATTAGCAGTTTAAAAAAATTAGGAAAGAAAATCTAATCCATACCTTGGTAGGAATAAAATGTGTTGCAAGCAGTCACTAGTAGCTGACCCTTTAAAAAAAAACAACTGGAAGCTGTATGGGAAAAGTTATAAAAACAGTAAGTATAAAACAAAGTTATGGTCCCAGAATTAAATACCTTTTGGGTATTTACATATGTTACTAATCCAGAGAGGACTGATGCCCCGTGGGTACTGGCTGGCTGGCAGAATCAACAAACACACTACTGAGGCCCAGGTGATTCTGCTAACACTCACATTCCATCCAAGTATACTTCAGTGCTCATGTGCAGGGCTATGCCCTTGGCCACTTCCATCATCTGGGTGAGAGTAAACAATAAGTAGGATCTGACTGAGTTCCATTTAGAAAGATTCTCAATAAATAAGATATTGTGTATCAGATGCCTGACAAATAAAAAGAGCCCAATAAATGTTAGCTTTTTAAAAATTCTGCACTTGCATTGGATGGAGCCCAGAAATAGCACTGAAACCGCTGTTGCTTCTAATTTGGGAGACCTGTCTGCAAACATTTTATTCAAGCTTTTGAGGAGATAGTGTTGTACTGTGTTCTGATTCACAGGATAAAAATAAAGTTGGGCTAACCCTAATTTTGCCATGCTTTCTTTTGAGCTCACTTTAAAATTAGCAATCTTGGGTAGACTTCCTGATATTTGTATCAGATTTGCAAAGTACCTATTCTTCCACATGCTTTTCATGTGGGGAGGGGAGTGGTGGGGTGAGGAAAGGAGGGGCATAATACTACTTACCAGAATGAATGGGATGAATGACAGTGTCCTGCTGGATAAATATCTTAGGTAAATTCAAATTCATACAGAAACAGAAGCACAGACACCGTGTTCTCATCAACATTAATACTACAACACAAATGCCAGCAGGCCACGTGGAAAGATCTAGTTTAGTCACTTTACAGAGACTCTACCCTCAGAACTAGGGAGTATTTTTTTTTCCTTTCAGTATTTTTTTTTCTTTCATTGACCCACAGGGGAAAAAAAATAACAAAGGGTCACAGAAGAGGTTAAAAGGAACTTAATTTGGCTATCAGTGATTATTTTTAAAAGTCACAGTAAAAAGTGAAACTTGGCTGATTTAAAATTTAAAAAGTGGATAAAACAAAACTTTATTCAATATGTCCAATGATGTGAATATTTTAAACTCTACTTCAGTTCCAGTATGGCCAATAATGAAGTGAGGAACAGAAGTGGAAAAACAAAAAGAACAAGGAAAGAGACCTGGAGAGAGATAAATGGAGAGACTGGGACCAACTGAGAGCCAAGAAAAAACACACACCAACACTGGGGAGAGGCTTATCATTTTTTTTTTTAACTTAAAAAAACCCTGTTTTGTAACACCCTGTCACAATTCATCTGTCCTCTGGTCTTCAGGAGTAAGTTTCCACTGCTTTTAACGAGGGCTGTTCTTCATAATTTATCAACTCTCTTCACCCTTGAATTTTTACCACGCCTACCAAAGTTCAATAGAACTTTAATGATGAAAATGTTCTGTATATGTGCTGTCTTATGTGGTAGCAACATGTGACTACTGAACACTTGAAATGTGGGCAGTGCAATAAAGAAATGGAATTAAAATTTTTATTTCATTTTAACCAAATAAGTAGTTAAATGTGGCTCTCTTACTGGACAGTAGGAGACATTGGACAGTGTAAAGGTTTAAGGGACATTTACAGTGTAAGGAAAATTGTTCTCAAGGCCAATGCAGAGCTGAATAAGCACACATGAAGTCAGATCACACGGTGATTTATAATACAGCCTTGCAGCTGGACCTTCTCCCTTCCTTAAAGTTTCCTTTACTTATCATACGCACAGAGTACTCAATAAATATTATTATTGCTAATAATCATACTATAGCCAAACTAGCCTCAGAAGAGTGATCTTGCTTCAGGTGTACGATTCCTGTTCCAGGTAAAGCACTTGATGGATGTAGATGAACTGTTTTTTTGTGCTCTATACCTAACCCCCTCACTGTTACAAAATAAGAACAGTCTTACTTTCACTGTCCCTCAAAGAAACAGCCTGAGGGTGAAGAGCTGACAGTTCTTTGCGCTTCTCATAAACACGCAGTGCTTGACCATTTCATCTGCTATCCTCTGCTCCCTTTAATCCTCTCTTCAATCCTCTAATTATTCTTTATCTTTCCCAGATGAAGAAAGATGCTCTCTTTTATAGAGTGGAAACAGAAAATCACTGGTAGGCGTTGGGGCAAAAATATCGGTCAGGTTACATCTATCTCTAAGACTTTCAGTGCTTTGAGGAGCAAGGATTTAGAACTGTTCAGTACTCCACGCTGTCATTTTCATTAATAAATAGCTATCAATCAGCAATTTGACTACTGTCCCAGCACTGCTCTCTGCATCATTTGATCACTTCTCTAAATCACAGGTTTTAATTTTCTTTGTCTTTACTTAACCTTACTTCATTAAATTGTAGTAAGTCTCTTTCCTTGCTAGCAAGCCGCAATGTTTTATTTCTTGAAAGAGCTGATTTTGGACCTTACAAAAGCCTCAAAAAGGAAAGATCCGTACAATGAATGCGTTGCCTGCATTGATTCACTGAGCATCACCCCAGCCTGGTTATGCAGTGCTTGTTGGGTAGTAGGTCATCAATAAACTTTCTTTTGAACTAAGGAAACGTAAGTCACGTCTAAAGGTGGGCAGCCCTCTATAATTGTGGACTACGGTCTCAAGACGCCTTCTGAACTCAGCTCTTCATCTTGACTACTTTTGGACTAGGATGAAAATTTTACTATTTCCTTCCCAATCAACTTGCCCTTCCTGCAACGACTGAGACCAGAGCTTCCCTTTACACCCGTGAACTCTACAGGCATCGCTCTTCTTTCCCTTAAGAACAAAAACTGTCCACTGCTGCGTCCGCTACAAGGGCCCTGGACCCAGTGGTGAGAGGTAGAAGAACTTCGGCCTTCACCCGACCCAGTCTCTCCAACTCGCCGCAGGACTGTGGCTGTCTCCCTCCAACCACCATAACTCTAGCCCGCTCTCCCCCACCTTGCCCTTCGCGCCCTTAGCGCCCCTCGTTTCCCTCTCACAGCACGCTGCGTAAGACGAGCCCCTTCGCGGACCACCAGCTTTCCCGCTTCCGCCCGGCGCCCGTGACCGGGGCGGCGCAGAAGAGCCCCGCTTCCGCGTCGGCGACGGCGTGGGCCGTGACGTCATCGCGCCTTGACGTCAGGCCGACGAGCAGCACGGTCTCCCGGGAGACCGGGAAAGCCGTTTCGCACCCGGCGGAATCGAAGTCTAGGTGAGAGATAATGAATGGCTTCCTTGAGCCCCGGGATGACCGGGTCCCCCTGGGCGCAGTTCCGGAGCGGAGGCGTGCTGGCACCCGGGGAGAGGGCCAGAAAGCCGCGCTGTGGCGCCGCGCCCAGAGGGTGGGCCCCGTGCCTCGCCTCTGACCCCCGCTGCGGCCCGTGTCCGGACGCTCTTTTCTTCCCCGGAGTGCGCGGCTCGGTTTCACTCCCGCACTCTCCTCCTCCTCTTCTTCCCATGGCAGGTCCTGAGGGAACGAGGTTAGATAGGGACAGGTTTCAAAACTCTTGCAGCCGTTTTGGCTGGATGTGCACTTGGTTTCTACTTGGAAAATCCCACCTCGGCTTTCAGAAAGGTCTTGGGACTTGAGCACTCTCTTCACGTGACCTTGCCCTCCTCATCTGGGGTGATTCACACCAAAGGAATAGCGCTTTAGGGAACGACCTGAAAGCGGAACGTGAGTTAATGGCCCAGCTTGACACTTGGGTCAGGAAGGGAATCAGAAGTGAACAATCAAGGACGTTTCAGTATTTTTGATATCTTCCTTGTGATCCTGTTAGCAGGTTCACAAATACCTGCGTGGTTGCTGCAGGTTATCACCACACCCCTTGTCAAAGGGCAGCCTACAAAGTGCGTAATGTGAAAGAGTAAAGGGGACTCATTTGATTAAAAAAAACCCGCAAAATAACGTAAGGGTAAATTAAAAATTAAAAAAATTTTCCTCTTGCTAAAGGGAAAGATACCCTCTTCCTTACCTTTCTTGGGAAGCCTCCTGTTTGTGAATGCGTCCTCTGCCCCTTTAATATGTATGCAAATCTTTTAAAGACCCAGAATGTTTCTCTGGAGGACCTGGGAGCAGTTTCTTTAACATGTAAACATCAAAGAAGATAGGGTCCCTCTCTCCATATCACCTTGAGAGTTTAGCCTGGGCGCCTTACTTTTAGTCACCCAACTGCTTTGTCACAGAGATTTGTATTCCTTAGAGCAAACGCAATTAGCTAGCACAGGTGGCTACTTAAGTTACCAAATGAATTTAAAACGAAGTGTGAAAGAGAGTATAGCAAGCTATGTTGAGGACAAGTTACCATTTATCTTGAGGACATGTATGTAAAGGATTGTATCTCTTGGCTGTATAAAGTGTGAGATTTCCTTCTGTCTTTGTAATCTCATTAACATATTAGCAGTGTTGTTCATCACAGTCCAGTTAAATGCTTATTCAGTAATAAAATTGTTTTCTTTCTGCATCGTGGAGAGATTTCCTTGATTGGCAGGATATTTTATTTTATTTTATTTTA